ATCATGGCGCTTTTTGCCGCCGTCTCGGTGTCACGCCAGTCGTCGACCGCGTATTCGCCTCGCGACTTGACGGGAAGGTGGTCTGGATAGCCGACCACCGCCCCACCCTCCTTGATCACCCGATCCACTGCAATCCACGCCTAAAGTTTCACCTTGACCCCACTGCTTCGACGGCCAACCCATTTGTCCTTGGTCTCCACCAAAGTTTGGTGGCCCTGCAGATCCACCTTGTTGGGGCCAGCCCATTTGTCCACCGAAGCTTGGCGGTCCTGCAGATCCTCCTTGTTGGGGCCAACCTTGTCCACTTCCTGACGGGTTCATGAACTGCATTGGCATTCCACCTTTTCCAAACCCATTGTTTTCCGACGTGGTTGAGCCATCGGTTGCTTGGTTCGGTGCCACGGTGCCTGCCGTCTGCGAAACATCGCCGAAATCAATCGCTGACGATGTGGCGGCCAGTGTGGCTGCAAGCAGCACTTGGGGGAATGTACTTGACCTCATCCGACGAAAACTGAAAGTGGCTCTGCAAGACACCAAGAGTCTTGATCTTGCCAAGACGGACCAACAAGACTTTTGTGGTCTCATCGTGTCTTCTCGATTGCGCCATCCACTTTCGTTTCATCATGGAATGCTCTCAGCTTTGTGGCTGCGATACAATATGGATACGAGAACGTTGAACACGCTGGAGGTCCTTTACGAACAGCAAAATTGGGATGGGGAGCCGATCCTAAAAATGCTCATTTACCGAAGTAAAACCACGAGTTCCTGCGTATCCAAAGCTACAACATGTGCAGCTACTTCAATTGTCTCTTAAACCTTAGCAAAATCCGGTGTCGTTGCTGGCGTAGAAGCCGTGTGCGTTGAAAACACTTTCATCGCAAACAAACGCACACAAAGTGGACAGCCTTGTTTATTGTTCCGGACAAACGATAATAACTAGGCGTACAATACTTGAAGTATCTGGGTACCCAATCACCATCTGTCGCTTGCAGTGAGTCAGACTGTATTCGTCCAAGGGTTTGGCGGCCAAACTCAGTGAACAAGATATATCAAGCAACCACAAGAAAGAATATTCATGTAGTGCATGGATATCCTCTCTGTACATATTGCTATAGTGTATCCTGGGTATGAGACCAAAACTGAGCTGTATTGATGATATTACCCAAAGGATTCAAAGGTTATGTTCTACAAGTACACAAACCCAAACCTGTAACTTTCATATTTTTTTTGATCGAAATCGAATAGGACGATGACTTGTTTTCGCATAAAGGGCGTCAATAATAAAAAAAAAACAATGCTACTCCACTAACTTAACTAGTTTCAACAATTTAAAGTGCGTGTTTTTGTTAGATCTCGCGAATGCTCAAGAGTTCTGCCTCCTTATTCTTTAGTGCAAACATTTGCATATGTCAACCTAGTAGCGACCTGCTTTATCTTAGTCTGAGCCAACGCGGTTTCGTAGACTTTAAAGCCCACGAAGCTGCGTTCGTGTAAGTTGACCGCCAAACCAGTTTATATCCAGCAGAATCTTTTCTTTCTTTCTAACCCCGCCACCCCCCCCC